CAAGAAGATGAACCAACAGTGGAGATTTACCGTTAGAAGATGAATCTTAATCTTTCCCCCTTAGTTTACAACCCAAGAAGATGAACCAACAGTGGAGATTTACCGTTAGAAGATGAATCTTAATCTTTCCCCTTTAGTTTACAACCCAAGAATATGAACCAACAGTGGAGATTTACCGTTAGAAGATGAACCAACAGTGGAGATTTACCGTTAGACGATGAACCAACACTAGACACACTTAATCTTTCACCCTTAGTTTACAACCAAAGAAGATGAACCAACAGTGGAGATTTACCGTTAGAAGATGAATCAACACTAGACACACTTAATCTTTCACCCTTAGTTTACAACCCAAGAAGATGAACCAACAGTAGACATACCTAAACTTTCACTCCTGAGAATACGAATCAACACCGGACGTTGTTTCACTTTTAGTATTAAACCTGAGAATATGAACCAGTATTTAACAATTCTAATGTTTGACATATAGTTTTAAACCTGAAAATATGAACCAATACTGGACATATGTAATGTTTTACTGTCACTTTTAAATCTAAGAATATGAACCAACGTTTGACTAACTTAATATTCCACGCACAGTTTTAAACTTGAGAACATGGACCAACACTGGACATATGTAATGTTTTACTGTCAGTTTTAAACTTGAGAATATAAATCAAATAATGAAATATGATTTTCATGCAATACCTAGTGTTGTATATCAAGGTAAGCAAACTGAATATGGTACGAACTTACGTTTATCTCGATGCTGAAAATATGTAAAGGAAACGAATCTCTAATAACTTAAGCTATTACACCACTTTTTGTTTCGCTTGAAAGTTGGAATCATGCTTTAATGTCCATCATATAATATCATGTTACTTCCTTATTACTTGCCTTTTTTATTAATAAAAGGGAAAGGGAAAAATAGATCTTAAAAGTTATTGATATTTTAGCTGAAGGGTTTAATATATTTTGCGTTGCTTTTTTATATGAATAAAATTATTTTGTTGTTCCCCATGACATGAAGATAACATACCATCTGCTACACGAACTGACGAGCTAAGCACACCAAATTCTGAATTTGTAGGGATTCATAGTTGAAGTTTGTGAAAACAGTAAAAAAAAAGTGGACCTATGAGTAATTTTTTTCTTTTTAATGTACATGAATTTATAGTAGAAGTTTCAACTGAATCACATAATGTTTATATCTTATTGTTACTTTCATTCTAAATTCAGGCAAATCAGTATAGACAGTAGGGTGCTGAGTAAATTAAAATAAGTACAAACACGTAAGCGAAATCCCCCATCACCAAACCCATCTCTTTAATCACGTTTTTTTTTTACCTTATAGACAAGCAACGTAAAGTATATTTAAGCTTTCAGCTAAAATTTCAATAACTTTAAGGTTTAGTTTTTTTGTCCCTTTCAATAATAATAAGAAAATAGAAGAAAAGAGGAAGTAATTTGATATTATAGATTACTCGGTGTTCATTAAGGTATGGTTTCAATGTTCTAAAGAAAAACGCGGGAAAACTCCAGAGAACTTACAAAGTATATGCGTTATATGTCTCACTATATAGGACTTAGGTCCATTATAAACCGATTTATTTTTTGTTTATTTCTTTTTTGTTTTCAAAGAATTATGTTTAATTATTCTACAGGATGGTGGTGTATATATACTCTTCACCGAATGATATGATGTAATGACAGACGTACGTGAATTTCGCGTGGAAACCTTCGTTGTTGTCAGGTAACTTAATAAGAAGGCTTCACTCTAATGACGTCGTTAAACAATTTATAAGCAGACAGTTTTTTAACTTGAAAGCCATAATTTAGGCTTAAGCCACTGATAACTATTTCACCCTGAAAATATAAGATGATTTCATCAAAAAAGTGCTATAGATCAACTAACACCAGTGCTCACTAAAAAATACTATCATTATGATTGAATAATGTAGGTGGAGCCAGAATCAGAAGCCGAAGGTGGATACACTTTTATATATGAACGTATATTGACATCGACTCAAATCTTATTCTCAATCAAACTAATGGGCGTCTTTACTATAATAATTGTCCACAACTACTCTGTTTGGATTAATTAAGAGAAGCCAAAGCTGCATTAAGCAGTTCTCATATTATCAGTGTTAACGTGAAGCTTGGCAAATGTATATCTTCTTTTAAACCAACCACATAAAGAATGTCTGACGATTAATTTGTTTGATATTTTGCAATCGTTTCTGGGGACGGCAGTCTGAGATAGCTCATAACTGTGGACTTGATCACTATGAAATGTTCTCTTATTAAAAACTTATCATTAGTGAAATGATCCTAATATATTCTATTAAACTCGTAGAAGGACAAGATAACACGCGTAAGTCAGTTGGAAAATTTGCACTGACGATTTTAACCAATCTATTCAAATAATAGTGATTTTAGTGTTTTTAGAAAGTAATAAATGAGTTATTATGCGAATACTACTAAACCATTCTAAGAAAATAAAAATAAAAGAAGGCAGGTTTAAAAGGAAGTGTATACTAAACACGTGAATTGCCAATCTAATTCAAATTATCATAAGGATACAAAGTTGCCTATTTATTGACGTTTCAAGCGCCACCAAACGAGACTTCCTTAGGCCTCAAATCATTAGAACTCCACGGACATAGAAGTACCTGGTTTAGGCTTTAATTATAACGTAGAATAACAAGATATAGTCAGTATTGGTTAAAGAACTTCCAACCGTTAATATTGCCTTGTAGAATTAAGAGCTTAAAACCTGTATGCTATTAAAATATGGATTATTAGCTAAGATTTTATGCTATTCTAATTGGTATAACATAGACAAAAAGTAGTTTAAGAAAATTTTGAATGTAAGACACTAAAATCTTGTGTCATGTGCAGTAAAGGATACCAGTGGCGATAGGGTTAAAGTAGAAAGAGTTGCAGTTTGCACGAATTAAACATACCGGAAGTTAAAATCATAAATAATATTCAACGTTAAACTGGTACACAATTAAAAACATTTTATTTAGGCCTATCTATAGCCTTCAAAAAGTTGACGACTCTACATGTAACGTCGTTACAACGTCATACACGAGTGCCAAAACACTATAACCATTTTATGTATTTAAAAACTGTTTTCGCTGTCGCTAAG